GCTATAATTTGTAATGATAAAATAAATAATTTTGCTAGTAGCTTTTAAAAACCATCCTGTGTTTTAATAATAAAAACATATGGGTATTGGTGATATTGGCCCTAAATAACTTGGTATGGGATCGAAATGTGTCACCTCTTTCTTTTAACCTTTACTCCTATCGCATATTAGACACATCAACCCACCCACTTGCTCACTGCGAGTCCTCCGGACATTTTCTCGCTGTGTTCTCACATGGGCTCACTCTCAAAATGTCAGGAGCAACCGACACAGACATTTGCTTTCCCACAAGCCCCGGGAAAATGTCCGGACTTCAGTGCATGTCTGAAACAAGCTGTACAGTTCATTGATTTGTCAAAAGAGGATGAATCCAGCATTTAAATGCTGACTTAACTGCTTCTTTGTAAAAAAAAAGCCCGAGGTCAGTCTGGTATCTTCGGCTGAGACATTGTGAATTCTACTGACGAGCTCATGACTCCTACTCATTCCTAATCCCGACCCCTCCCAACAAAAGTTAGAAAAGATACAACTTAGTTGCAGGCCAGTGCTTCTCTGTTAGTGGGGATACATTTTGGAATAATGATCGGCTCTCAAAGATATGAGACTACAGACAAGGTGGGGTCTTGTGAGGATCACAGGAGGGACAATAATCTTTGTTTACCAGCACTGTCTCACCCTCCCTCTTTCTTTTCTCTCTTCCTCTGAGTGCACACCATTGGAGGCATCTCAGCAGGGGGCATCCTCCCTTTTCCAGGCTGAATGCACTTAATACAGTAAACATCCTCTCTGCCGCTTCACCCTGGGATGAGCAGACACAAATCACTGTGTTGCTGCAGTGGGGCGAGGCAAGAGAAGGGGAGTGAAGGACATGCTTTCTTTTTATTATTGTATCCAGCTATGATGAGAGGTATTAGAGCAAAACAAGAGGAAAGATTGAACATCTCTGTTTGAATACAGGGCCGCACTTTCAGACATTAAGTTCAGGGGGTAATACTCAAGTGTTTTCTTCAAGTTGGTGGCCAACACACTGATTCTCAGATTTACTCTCTATATGACATCAGTGTGATGAAAATGTCCTTTTTTCTCTCCTCATGCTGTTTCGTGAGATCGTTCTTCAAATGCTTAATGAGACTGCTGATGTATTGGGCAACACTTGTCTCACCCTTCGGAACTCAAGTCTTGCATACGGTACACGTCGCCACTTTACTTCTTGGACTTCCCAGCGTTAAATACAGCCAGAAATAATTTGCTCTGGCTAACGCTACACTAGAAGAAAATCACTACCTTTCCATGGATCTAAAAATTGCCAGTGGCAGTGCGGACCCTGCTTTTTTGGAAATATCAGAGGCATTTCTGATGCTAGTATCGGTATCAGAACATCTCTAACTTTGTCACCAAAAGTCTTAGAAGTCAACAGGGCTCAGTCATGCTTTGGAACCAAGAGTTAATCCTGACACAGAAACATTATCAAAATCTTATTGTGAGTAAGACCTTGATTTCATATTCAAAAAACCCACCAACATCTGGCTTTCGTCTGCAATGGGAAAGGATACAAGCGAAATTCAGTCCAGGGTCAAATGACTCTGCAGAAGACTCGGGTTATTTATCAGTTCTGGCTGTCTTTGGCAGTGATTGAAACATGACATCTGAGTAAACATGCTATTCTCTTCTACTTTATTCTGGCAATCCAGATGCTGACACTGCACCTTGTCTGCGCATTGAACTTCTGGGCGCTAGTGCATAAATAGCCATGAACTTTTGTGTACTTTTGCATTGTTTTTTATCTTTGGAACAACGTGCAGCAAGACTTGTTTCTTTGTTATCATGCAAGGTGCAAAACTTGCAAGACGGCAAGGTGGCAGAGCTTCTCAGTTTCTGGAGAATTTCTGATGCTGAATATGACTCAAAGGGGAGAAAAAATAAATAAACACAAACCCCTCTACAAGCTATGGGAAAGGAGTCAATCACCATTTTTAGCAGGTTTGCCCACGTTTAAAAAAACTTGCACATACCAGCATTATTTTTGGAAAGAGGTATAATCCTGCTGGTTGACTGGCATACAACAAGCGTGGGGGGAGGACTGGGGGGGGCAGCTGCTCTGGCTCACAACATCCATGACTAACTTCAGCAGCAAGAGGACTTCTGGAGCTCAGTGTGTGACCACATGTTGATTTAAATTCCTGGTGGTGCACTTGTGTAGCCTCCACTCTGCTATCACATGCACTGACAGTGGAGTTTGACTCACCCCGTCCTCCACATGACAGTCCAGGAATGCAGACGAACCACCTGAAGTACTGCATTGTTGAACAGGTGAATCAAGCGGAGACACTGTGACCGGTGTGTAATAAGTAACCACATGGCATGCACACACTAAACTACCACCGCTTCAACAGGAATACAAAGTTGAAGCCATGAGGTAAAGTGGCTGGGTGTTTCTTTTTTTATTGCTCCTTCACATGATCTAAATTTATGGGACACGCAGGTTGACCGTTGCCCTCTGAACCACACACCTCAAATATTTGTTTTGCCAGTATAGACTTTAATAGTAGGTCATACTCTGCAAATCCCAGAGGACACACAAGTTGCACTACAGCCATTAATGACTGTACTCTTCAAATAGTATCCATGCAGATTCTGTAAGTATCTAGTCTGAAGGTGATGACATCTCACAACAAGGTTCAGACTATTGGGTCTGAAGGTTATCCCAACTTTGCTTTCACATATGAGCAAGGCAGCCGGAGATTTTGTGTGTTCACAACAGGGTCATCCCCAGAATATTCAGGTGAGGGGTGTCTGCAGGGTAGAGCATGAAGGAGGCAAGACCTAAGGTATACATTCCACTGTGGAAGTCACGTATTTTTGTTTACAGCACATTAACAACTGCATCTGCCTCTATCACCAAAATCTATTTGTGTTTATGGCTCCTCTTTTTCATCCTGACATGTCTGTAGTCCTCTTTCTTTCAGTTTTGCATCCGTCACATGCTGGAAATGTCATTAATGTGACCACTTGCTCACTGTGAATTCTCCACACATTTGCCTGCTGAATTCTCACATGGGTTCACGCGGACATTGATTAGAATTTTTACTTGGGGGGCTGGTGTGGGAAAAGCTCTGGAAAAGTGTCCAGAGCAACTCAACGCTCACATGCATTCCCTCAGGAGGATTTCAGGACAATATCCAGTGTGTGTGTGTGTGTATCATATGTCTTTGCTTCTGACAGGTACCTGTTGAGTGCAGCCTACACAGCACAACACTACAGATTGATTGATTTGAGACCCAGACACCCACCTGTCCTCTTTGGCTGGAATATTAGCTGGTCACAAGTTTGCTGTGTCACTTAGATTCTAGTAATTTGGTTTAAAAAGCCACACATAAAGCATATTTCCAGACAAATGTGCAGTTAACCCATTGACACACAGCTAACTTGGGCCCTTGGGTGTATAGGGCCCATCAGGCTGCAGGTGGGAATATAGATGGAGCCTTACCTTCAGCCAACAAGCTGAGTATTAGTTGCATATGAGTTTTACTGTAGTAGTAGAGCAAATAATTGAAAAGTTTGTTGTGAACAACTAAACTTTGTCACAGCAGAAACTTAAACTCGGTCAAAGCAGCTACTTCTATAGACGCATCGATAGATTCGAACACACGGCCTATCGACAACACTCAGTCCAGGGTGTAAGAGCCCTGGCTCCTCCGTCCTCACCTTGAACTCCACAGACAGCTGCGGCGTGTACTCCAGCGTCCACAGCGCTCGAACCAGCGACGCCAGCTGCTCGGTCACCTCTCCCCGGGCGCTCTGCGGCTCCTCTCCCCGCGCTTCCCCGTTCACCTTCCCGTGGCACGTGTCCGACCTGTACTGCTCCAGCCCCAGGTACTCGGCCAGCAGGTCCGTGTTGCTGAGGCACTGGACCACGGCGTTCATGAAACAGGTGTTTCCGTGGTTCTTCAGCCCCAGCACCCCGGGGGTCTTGTCGCCGTAGCATGACGACAGCCTCTCCTTCACCGAGCCGTGAGCGGAGGAGGCTGCCGCCGCGGAGCTCTTCTTTGCGGCGGCAGAATCCCTGGAGACCTGCGGGCTGTCGTCTTTGAAGCCCGCAGAGGAGCTCTGCCCGAAGCCGCCGTCGTCGTCCTCCGCGTCCGCTGGTTCCGCGTTGCCGAAGTGCGCCAAAGTGCCCAAAGTTTTCAGGATCCTTCCCATGAAATTCCCAAAAGATCGCAGCGATTTCCTCCGGATGAACCTCCCCGTCTTGTATTTCTTCTCTTTCCGCGTCGTGGACTTGGGTTTCATGGGCTGTTTTCTTCTCGTGTTCTCCTTGCGGGGATCCATGACTCCTTCACGCTCTGGGACCGAGAATACACGAAACCGGCTGAGGAGACGCACCTGTCTGCGAGCCTGTCTGTGAGCCTGTCTGCCCTCCTCCTCCTCCTCCTCCTCCTCCTCTTTACTTCTCTCCTCAAACCTTCACCGCTGTTTTGGCACCGAAGCGGCGCCAGTAAGGCACATGATCGCCGGTTTCACGCTCCTGACATCCCGGTTGTTTTCTCCGGTGTTGTCTGGTGATTGTGATCGGTGACGCTCCCTGCAGGAACCACACAGACCAGCTGTCTCTCTCGCTCCTCACGCCGCAGGTTCACTCGCATTTCCTCATCGATGGATCGAGCGCCTGGCGGTCTCTCATTTCCCCCCCTCCCCTCCTCCTGTCGATGGAGCCACAATGATCCAGTGTGTGTTTCTCTTAATACCCTCCCGTTACCCATGTACGTAATCAACCTGCACCACTTCATTAGGTTCAAGGTGCATGCAGTGAACAGGAAACCCTTTTCTACACAGCCACTAACCTGGATGTTAACTTTTATAAGACTTGTTTGTCACACTGGGAACAAGGAAGTAGTTGTTTAAAGGTGCCAAGCTCTGAAGCTGTGAGCTGCCAATCACAACCTGGACAAACATCTCTAGTTAATGTCAAAGAAAACATCTCCGCTTATTTTCAAGACTTTATCTATAATAACTGTGATTTTATGGTCTTCATATTTATCCACCACCCCCATGACTGCCATATTCATTCGACTTAAAGGTTCAGTGGGTGGAATTTAGTGACATCTAGTGGTGAAGTGCCATATTGCAGCTGTATGCCCCTCACCTCACCAAACATGACAGAGAACCTGTGGTAGCCTTCAGTTGTCAGAAAAACTCAAAAGGTGTTTAGTCTGTCCAGTCTGGGCTACTGTAAAAAACATGGTGACCTCCATAGAGAGGACCTGCTCTCAATGCAAATATAAAGTATTAAGATGTAAGAGGCTCATTCTATGGTAAAGAAAACAACAATTCATACAATTTAGATGAGACACACTAGTGAAAACATCACTAGGATTATTTTATATTAAATTTCTGCCATAGATCCCTTCACCTAAATCTTAAACACTGGACCTATATTCTGTGCAATAACTTCTTCTTGATACTGTCATTTTAGTTCATTCTCTCTCTCTCTCTCGATGTATATATATATTTATTTATTCATTTGTTTTCCAACTCGCGTTTAGTCAAGCACGTCTATGTTCGGGACTGCTCCATCCCCTGATCATTACCCTGCAGACTCCAAATTATGTCCTCAGTGTAAGATGGAAGTGTTCGTATCCAGGATACACGTCATCCATCTTTATATAAAGTATGTAAAGTTTAGGATTTATTGCTATTGATGGCTGATGCATATTTGTTGGACAGAATGGCAAAGTATACTGAAGATGACAACATCTGTGTGTTACTATGCATCATCATATACATCCTGAAATATGCAACACTTCACCTTAAAACTAAATTAAAGCCCCTTTTTCACTGGTCAAAAAACCCACTACCAACTTCTGGCCTTTGACTGCAATAGGTGTAGATATAATTGTCTTTCATTCCCTGGGTCTAATAACTCTGCAGGAGCTTCTGATCAGCAGTGATGGAAAAATGACGCCCAGCTAAACGCACTAATTTGGCAAGACAGCGAGGTGAGAGAGCACCTCAGTTTTCGGTGCATTCGTGACGTGGAACATGATGCACCAGGGAAAAAAATCAGAAAGGCAGATTCCTCTACTGTCAATGGGAAGTCAAATTGTCTTTTCTTTAACATTACAGTAAAGATCTCTTGACTCGGAACTATATCTCTTTACATGCTATTACTATAATTCATAGTCAGAGTGTTGAATCATTAAATACACTATGATCAATTATTCCTCTACTCCTGCATGGCCACTTATAAGACTAGTCAGTAATGTATCTACATGCAGAGTTATGTGTTTTCAGTTTACTCCATAATGTACTATGTCTGGCAAAGTGTATGCTGCTATTGAAATACCTCGACTAGAACCCACCAGGCTTTACAGACAGATGCATCCTATAAATAGCCTGGCTACTGTCTCCACGCACACTAATGCTGCTGCTAATACACACTGCAAGCCCCACAATGTAAGAGACATGGCTGTTATCGAACCTTTTGGTCAGAGACGTCACGAGCAGTGCTGGTTTTCAACAGGGATCCAGCATCTTTTTGTGCTATATTCAGATTCTAATCATCTGAGGCTTAATTTCACAGCTCACCAGCAATAAAGATTGAATTCTGTGAGCCAGATGTGCTGATTTGAAATAGATAGTCAGGGCACAATCCAATACTTTCATAATTCCTCTGATGCTCTTATTCCAGCCCTGTTGGGAAACAGATACACCATTATAACATTAGTAAGTACTATGACTATGTGTTTCTGTTTTTCCCTTGTACTGTAGTTTTCCTCTGTTCATAAACAGGGGGGGAAGAGGGTAAAAGACAGAGATGCCCTATTTTACTGATCCGGGGATGTTTTTGCTGACTTTGTTTATGATCTAGCTTTGTTATTTTACTTTTTGGGGAATGCAGGGGCGAGCTATTAATTATTCAGATAAGCCACTGTGAAGAATAATGAGGAGAATGGGTTCAGATCAGAGACAGTCAGTAATGTGTGCGTTGTCTCCCTCTTTAACCAAAATCCTGAGAGAACCGCTGCTGATAGATTAGCTGACAGAAGCCGTGTGTTTGAGTGCCACGAATCTGGGCCTCCTCCTTCTCTCTGCCACAGCAGACAGAGGAATCGTATCTGACAGTAAAGTATGCATTTAATGTGCTGTGTAATAAAGCCTGGTGAAAGTATGTAGAATGCCATTAATCCTGCTTTTCTAAAACAGTCTAAAGACACATAACGCACACTCTTTGATGTTAATAATATATTCTTATGCCTTGACGTGTAATTTCATATTCATGTAAAGTGTCGCTCTGTGGATTCCCACTTTTTCAGCTCCTGTGGGGAAAACCACATAAGAGACTACACTCCTCTAAAAGTACTATCTCTTCACTTCTGTGTATGATGTCCCTTTACTGCTGAGAAAGGAACCGGCTTTATATGTTTATTTCCTTTGGTCAGAGTGTAGCAACAATTTAAGACAATGTGAGAATGTAAGAACAGTTTCTACGACAGTATTTGCCAATTTAGAGGAAAGAATACAGAAGAAAAAGAAAATAATTTTGGATAACTTTCACTGTGAATGTGGTGGCACTGGATTAAAAGTTCCTGCCACTTCATTGAGTGTCACACTAGGAGGAAGACGGATGAGGGAACCTCCAGCGGAAAATGGCTCCATCTGCACTAGTGCTGACTAAGGTGCGGTTGTTGGAGCAGATCTTGATGCTGGTGATACTGCCAGAGTGAGGTGCCCCCACGTGGGTCACTGCACCTACCATGTAGTCCCACACCTTCACCAGCCTGTCGTCTCCACCTGGCGTGAAAGGGAGAGAAATGTATCAGTAAGTGTGAGCAGAGCTTGTGTTGTAATATTAGACAAGGAGATGAAAACAAAGGCTCTGAAGAGATGAAAACACTCAATATTTAAGAGTAAAAAAAGCCTTAACAATACTGATTCAACTGAACATGAGCATCTGCAATAATCCAGGAGCTTGGGGACTTAGTTAAATTGTATTAATTGGAAATAGATAAATATAAACCTACAATAAATCGATAAAATGAGCAATGTTACAAGCAGCACAGGTGTAATAGGCCGTACCCGTCACAAAGTGTTTGCCGTCCTGTGAGATGTGCATAGCATTAATGGACCCAGACTGCGAGACCTCCACTTCTCTTATGGTAGCACCATCATACACGTCACAGTAGGCAACCTGAGAGAAACGCAAAACACACACAAACCCTGAAATATAGTTCCACTTCTACGTTCTACATTGTTGGCAAGTGTCCTAGGTGGAGGGAGAAACACACTGTATATGTAAGTACACTGATATTGTAGCGTATATTTGAATCAAGTATAATAGTAAGTAAATTAAAGCAAAGTGAAATAAAGTGAGACAACAAAAAGGGAAAAAAAACCATCAAGCATGTGTCATAAATGAAGCATGGCCTTTGGATCACTTTGCTGGAATTTGAAGTCATAGACTATATAAAGATGGACGACACGACAGCTCCCAAAAGGGAAACCAAAAAGTGGAGATCGCCTCCTAGTGGCTGGATGCAGTATGTGTGTATGAACCCTGCAGATGGAACAGCGACCAAACTAAAAAGTGAAATAGATCCTATCCCACTGACGTATGTTCAAGTATTAAGTTTAGGTTTGGATTTGATTTGTTATTTGATGCTATTAAAAAGGGTGAAACATTGTGATTGACAGCTGAGACCGAGTCGCTGTTAGTTGAGCGTGTGTTTAGGCGGGACCACTTGCTCCAAATGACACCTTCAGAGCAACATGGCTGCAACCATATCTGGGATATTTTGGCTTCATTCAGTGGCCATTGATGTCGATGTAAAGCTGTTAAACAGACAAATGGCAAACTACACAGGTGATGCAGCTGATAAATCCGCGTTGTGCTATTATTCTATTACATCCTCATATACATTCTGCGATATGCAACATGATACCTGAAAACTGAACTTCATTATTCTTTCTCTGTATGAAATGAGCAGATCTGTGGTCAGATTCTATCAACCTGTCAGACACTACTTATGAGTCTATGTTTGCTGATTTAATGAGATTTAAACATCCCTGGGGCTTCACAGCTGCCAAAGTATCAAGTCTCTCAAAAAGGCACTTGTTAGCCGAAGTTATTTATAGCACCAGCAGCAGAATCATCACGGAACAGCACTAACAAGGGTTCCTCCCTGTATTTACCGTAACACTAAACTGATTAGATCTTTAAAGCATTCAGGTAATACAAGGTAAATAAAGGGGCCAGATGGATTCACAGGGTTAACAGATAGCAATAAGACCATCAAGTATTAAAAGTTTAACTAATTTAAACATCTAATTACAGGAAATTCCATAGCCTGATTAATATGATGCAAATAAACAGTATACAGTTGTTTACTGTATGAAATAACTAAGTGGAAGCATATGCAGCTTCATATATGTTGGTTATGTTTAAGAAGAAAACGTCATGTTTCACAGAGCTACTCAGAATAAGCCCAACGTTTACGAGAACCGCATCTGAGACAGGATTTCATTCCTCTGCAAGTCCATGCCCATAATGCATTAGGGGAGGGGAAATGTAATCTCAGACAGACATATCAAATACTGTTGGTTATTTTGAAATGAAAGAGGAACAAAAGGCTCAGCAGGAAAAAAAAGATGTTATTTATAGTTTCAGAAGTGCAGAGTGATTCTCAAAGCAATAAGCTGCCCTTTTAAGCCACAGGAACATTTCTGTGGGGGCTGTCGACAAATGTTCCTCTGCCTCAGACTGGCTCACTCAGACAGCCGATATTAATATTCCCACAAAATAACTTTGCAAAAGATAACTAAGAGAAACACCAGTCACTTGTGCAGGGGAAAATGGTTCATCGTGAACAACAAATGGAAAGTTCTGCAATCTATTGCAATTGCTTATTTACCTCAGATCAGAATATACAGTTCACAGCTGCACAGATTATGCAATTTCATTCCGCTGAGGAGTGTGTTGTGTTTACTATCATGGGACCACTTAAGCAATGTTTTTAACAAACAGCAAACAAAGACGTAGCTCAAAAAAACACCACGACAGCTTCTGTTTGTGTTCGGGAAGTCAAAATAATGTTTACACTAAAGATTCTATAAATATAAATACGAGTGTGACAAAAATGGCAGTCCTCATTGTCCCCCTATGTCACCTTGCATATCTTCTTCATGGTCACAGTCATGACCTTTACCTCCCTTGTCTCATTTCTACAGCAGCTTATTAGAGACTCCTGCTTGTGTGAGTTTTCTGGACCCATCTGTGTTCCCTCCACCTCAGCCTGGGAATCTGGCCCTCAGCCATGACACCGGGCCACCAGGTAAATTAATTACATGCAGAAAGCGGGAGCAGGTCTTAGATGTCAGGGTTACTGTTTGTGCAGCTCACCTTCTTACCAGGAAAGACTTGAGTACAGTCTGCTCAGCAAGAGAAGCGACATCATTAAGGCCTTATGCTAATGAGTCCTTGAAACATGGAGTTAGAATGAGCCTCACAAAGTTCACACCTATGAACTGTGTAAACTGCTGGCTATGGCACTTTATATTTATTTATTTTTATCGATAGGAGGTCGTTTTAACTGTGTGATATAATGTGTGAATTGTTTTACTTTTATTTCATGTTTATGCACCAATCAGAAGTAGAGCTCTTAATTTAACTGTATTTTTATCTCCACCAAGGAGGTTATGTTTTCATCTGCTTTTGGTTGTTTTTTAGCAAGATTAACCACCAGATAGCTCTTCTCGAATCTTGGTGAATAGGTGTAGTATGGGTCAGGGAAGAACCCATGAAGTTTGGGGTTGATCTGCATCAGGGGGTGGATCACACATTTTGGTGAATATTTTAAGAAATAATGAAGAGATCTTTCCATAGAAAATCATTCATATGTATCAATGAACAGGTAAAATGTATTCAGTTACTGTATGTTAACAAACATTTGTCTTTGTTTGATGTAACATTTCTGTGTTCATACCTGACATATGCAATATGTTAATAAAGTGGCCAATCGGCCGTGGTGGAGGTATGTGCTCTTTGGATGCCCTTCTCTTTGTACAATACAATCACAATACAGGCTTTCTATTCTATTTTATTCTATTCGATTATACTTTATGTGCTATTTTACGTTTTGAGCTAGACTGGAACGTCATTCAGCAGAAGGTGTACCTCTGCTAATGCCCAACTAAATTCCCTTAAATTCAATCAAGCTGCACCAAATTGCACCTACTGTATCTGCCCCCTCTCAAATCTGCACCAAAAGTGAATCGGTCCTTTCTTGGCACATACCACACCCTTTCACCTAGTTTCAATAAGTAGTTTTTGTATAATCTTGCAGACAGACAAACAAGAATGACAACATAAAATGGAGGTAAACATGCATCATCATCATTGTTCACAGTTTTTCTCTTCTTCCTCACTCTTTTTCCTGATCTGTTGATCGACTTGCTCTTAAACTTACTCAGAAACATGCTGGGATGCATTTGGAGTAAGGAGAGAGAGTGAGTCAGAGAGAAGGAGAGAGAGAAAGAAAGAGAGCATTGGTATTTGTTTTCCTAGACAGAGCGCCTGTGTCCTGGGATGAGCAGATGGTGGATCTGGCTGGCGCTTGGTTGCATAGGCACATCCGCAGGAAGGCACGAACACCACAGCACTCCCCACAATCTCTCTCTTCTCCGATGAATCCCTCCCTCTCACTCTCTCTCTCTCCCTCTGCTCACTCAGCACATCCACAGCGCTGCGTTAATCAGCACAAGTTGTCCTCGCCTCCCAGCGTGTGGGGGAATAAACAATATGGGCCTGGTGTGTGTGGCGGGGTTTAACGGGTGCGGATGAAGTGCGCAATCAAGGAAATAAGCATTTCACTCTGCCACAGCGAACTTGTGACCTTATGTAAATAAGTGGTGCTGAGTTAATCACAACGACTCACAGAATAACAGACTTGAAGGGGCTGAGTGTTTTTGCCACAGTGACTAGCAGCCAACACGGTGGCTTAATTTTGTTGAGCATAGAAACAAATTAGGAGCTTTCTGAGCTAATCTACAGACACACAAGTGTGTGTGCTCGTGCAAGTCTGCTGATCTTACAAGAGAGACAGGCTTTTCACTGAGTGGAGATTATAAGGACAATAACAGCATAATGAGATATCTAGATTATGATTGTCAGTCTCTTTGCACACTGAGGGATTTTCAATCAGAATCACAATATTTCTTTTCCTGAGACGGATGAGGTGCTCTGTTATGAGTCCCTGGGATTTTTTTGCAAACCAGCTCTTACATCCCAGTGCCTAAACCCAACCAAGACCAATACATGGGCTGATTTTTTGAGATGAATGAAATGTATTACTCTAGTTGTGCTTTACAATACACCAAGTTGCCTTATAAATCCAGTATTCTACTGCACTATAGCAAAGGTCTCACCTTTCTGTTAGTGCTACTGGTAATGATCTGGTGTTCCTCTGGGTGGTAGCACACCGCAGACATCGTTTTGGCCATCATCATCACCTGAAGAGTCGTGAATTGCCTATAGGAAGAGATGCAGAAGAGCCAGAGGATGAGGTAAAAGAAATTCTAGAGGAAGATGTTTCACATGTGCACTCATAAACTCGAAAAGAAATCTAAACTGGGGGTTTTATCACTTCATTAACTGCCCACTTCAATTTACTGAAGAGGAGCCACGTCTGGAAACATGATAAACCAGATTGTTAACTGGATTTAACACTGTGACAGAGACAATGTTACACAGGCAGGTTTTCTAATGAACAAGCTAAGACGCTACGAAGCTGAAACCTCATCAGATGTAAAAATTAAGGAGCTTTTTTGCTGCTGTGGAGCTTTGAGAAGCCGACAAAGTCAACTTGTGCATCATTGTTTGCAAACACTGTACGTTATCTCCTCTGCAAGAACAATTTAAACCTGCTATGACATCTGAATATGCTGGTGAGTGTGCAAAACTCCTTCAGGCCATTTTTTTTGCGTGAGTAAACAAAAAGAACTGAACATATTTGCTCCGCCACTAAATATGGAACCAGCTGACGTGCCTGACAACCCACAACATGAAATCATTGAGCTGCAAAACAACAACAAACTCAAAGTTTTGTCCAACAACCTCCCTCTGCTCGAAATCTATAAAGTGTATGTACGACCAATGGATTTTCACCATTTGGAGGAGACGAGCACTGAAGTTTACATCTTTGTTTGGGACAACCTACTGCTGTGAGCAGCTATTTTCAAAACTGACTCTGACAAAATCCCTCTAAAACAGACCCGAACCTTGAAAATCAGCTTTTCTAGAAGGAAGGCAGGTCTAGTTATTACATAAGAGAGCACAGAGTGATATTTTCAGTTATTTAGTCTGCATGTGTACGTCCCTCAAAGGATATTAAGAAATGAGCCCTTGATTGTGAAAAGGTTCCCCATCCTTGTTATTGGCTCTTATCCGTCTAATATTCTTTTCTACAGCTTGTTAGTAATCATACCAAAAGCCCCGGCTGCCCTTTAATCCACAGACTTATTCATCGAAGAGGATAATCACTCATAATTCAACCAGTCAGATTTTTTTAAAGGTTTTATTCTCCTCGCAGAAGAAGCACATGGACTGAAGGATTTAAAGCTTCCTGATGCCCAGGATTTTTTCTTTTTATTCCTATTGTACCAGCCAGACACCAAGAGACAACTTCAGCATTTCTCTCTCATAACAGCTCAGACCTTGAGTCACTGCTCTCCATTTTCCATGTCATTTCTTTTTCTGCTGGTTATGTATATTATTAGCAATCATGTACTGGATAATGTCATTACCCTGCTTGCGGTGAACAAGTAGGTTACTGTTTTCACCTGTGTGTGTGTCTGTGTGTGTGTTTGTGTACAAGCACATGGATGGATTTTGACAAAATTTGGTGGGAATATTTGCAGGGTATCTTTCCAAGTTTAACTTTTGGGGCTGATAACAACTGATTCTCCACTGTGGGGTCCTTAGCACTGAGTCAAGCTTTGAATAAACAGGGGAACAGCAGGCATGGCCTCAGGATTAAGCGGACTGAAGACTTTACTTTCTCACTAACTGCAGTTACTGCAGGTCGCTTTTACAGTTTCAGAAAGAAAGCTGAAGCCACAGGTGAAAGAAACAGCCCATTACAAACAGACAGAAGATACTCTACAAATGACAGACAAACAATCTAAAGCTTATATTGACCAAAAATGTATTCCTCATCAAATGATGTCATGTGATAAGTGACGTGATGATTTCTTGAGGTATCTCTACTTGTGATCATATGATAGCGATGGTGTCATCGTCATTAAATATTACACGTCATAGTGTAGTAAAACATTAACAATTGCAACCAATTCCATAATTCCAATGTGGAAAGTCAGCACTGCCTTAGTGGGCTTCATATAGTTCATGCAGACTCTCCTCTGATGCTTATTATTCTCATTAGACATTTTATTTCTGATTAAATATCTTCCAGTTCATATCCTCTCAGCTACACAGACCTAGCTGAATGTAAGAAAACTAAGATTCACCCACTTTGAGTCATGGGTGGAATTAACATTTAACCAATAAATCACAGGGTCGTATTGTGATTCCTACAACCATTAAAATAAACTTAAAGTGAATTAGAAAACCTCACGAGAGCAGTTAATTCACTAATTATAGAAGAATAAAGATAAATACAGGAGGTGTGAAATGGATGTTTAAGTCTTTGCCCTGTGATTTGAAGTTCACATGTGTTTGCGTATGCAGATGAGCTACTTACACGATGTCCCAGATGATGCAGGAGCCATCAGTGCTGGTAGTGACACACTCTCTGTCGTTGCTCTTGATTTGGATACAAGTCACAGGGCCTCTGTGCACTTTCATGGTCTCCAGTAGTCGATGGCCTTGTGTCTGTAGCTCCCACACACGCACCTACAATAGGCGAACCCATTAAGCCTCACAGGATATGCTTTCGTACATCAGATATTATTCATATTAAAATACTCTTTCTTTCAGGGATTTGTAATGCAATGACATAGTACAACTATATGCGGTCTTTCTTTTTTAAATCTGTCGGAATGCAGTCTTAATGTATTTAAATGACATGTTAAAGGTCCAGTGTGTAAGATTTAGGTGAGAGGAAACTATTGGCAGAAATTTAATGTAGAATAATCCTCATGATGTTTTCACTAGTTTGTTTCATCTAAATTGTATGAATTGTAGTTTTCTTAACCCCAGAAAAGGCCCTTTATATTTAAATACTGCAACATGCAATTTCAACACTAGATATCACAAAATATACACACTCTACCTTTAACAGATCTGTACCACAGCATTACAATGTATTAAAGCGAAGCAACCCCATGCAACATTTTTAATTCTCTTAAAATAGCAGCTTTAAATTGAGTTTGAAGGGACACTGAGTTGTGATAGTAAGAATGGAGCCACTTTCATTCCCGCTCCTCACCCTGAACACCTGTTCTTGCTCTGTGTAACTTTGGTGAGCGAGTGCAATCTCCTGTGAGAAGTGTGAAACTGACTGATAACAAATCAGACCCAAGAAGTTCAGCAGTAATGTTAAACTTAGAAATCATTAAAAACCAAGAATTATCTCCAATGGCTCATGGGGTTGCTATGGCTGTGGCGGAGGGGTAGAGTGGTGATCCTCCAACCAGAAGGTAGGCGATTCAATCCTTATTCTTCTTAATCTGCACGCCGAACACCTTGGGTAAGATAATGAACCCGAAATGGCCCCTCATAGATGTTGAATGCACTAATGTAAATCGCTGACCTGTCCGTCTCCCCCTCCACTGACGATCCTCTTGCAGTCCTTGGTGCCAGCGATGGCTGTCACCCCCTTTTTGTGAGCATTGTTAATGATGCGCATGAGCCGACCGCTTGCTGGCCCAAACACACGAATCTCACCATCGTTCCATGCTGGAAAATAAAGATTCAGTTCAAAGCGGTCTGCCATCAAAAAGAAGAAGTTTGATGTCAGTAGGTAAACTAGTATAATATTATCAGAAGTGTTGCTGGTTCATGCCCACCAGTCATAAACATAAACAAGGCTGAACTACAGAGCCTTGGAGCAATAAGCTCCAATGTGTTGTTTAAAGATATCTCTCCCTGATTCTCACCACTAATGATGCTTTTTCCATCAGCCATGACGTCCAGAGCATTGCAGGTCATGTTGGGTACAGTTATGCGCAGCTGCTCTTTAGGCTTGTCAATGTGCCACACCCTGATGTCCTGCTCAGAGCAGGTTGCAAATAATTCAGAAGTTCCACTGGCAAAAAAAGAAAAAAAGACAGAGATGAATTATAGTTACGTGAATGCAGAATTCACATGTCATATGAGGCATTCATATGTCACCCTCTAGTGGGAACAATGCGGTACTGAAGTTATGCAGAGAAATGTAAAGTTTAAAACACAAAAGTTTTTTTCCAAAGAAAGAGATACGAGGTTTAGGAATCATCACTATATGTTCATATAACATTAGGAAAGTGTTAGTTTTGTTGTTCTACAGAATATCACAGGGGAAACTATTTCCTTTGTGCATATTGTTTACCAAGGGGGAGGATTTGTGACTGGTAGTCATATATTCAGCCAAGAGACAAAGATTACAATACAATATGCTGACTGACCATGCCAATGGAAACTTATACTATACAACACATCTGAAATGGAAGCTATTTGAGATTTCTTTGTTGGAGGTTGTGTAGACATTTTGTAAGAGGCTTTTATGATTACAATTGAATATAATATGAACAAGACTGAATTCAAACAGGTCATGATGTTCACCTAATTCTTGTAAACCTCAATGGCAAAAAAGATTCTGTACATTTTTAAAGCTGAAACAATGCCAGTAGACTTTGACTCTTCCTCTCTTCCTCTCTGTCTCCTACTTACAAAGGGATGGCTACGTCCTTGACTGTACTGGTGTGGCAGCTGGACATTAGTTCAGCTTTGAAGTCCACGTCCCTGATGCAGTGAATCTGACAAGCCTCTGTCCCAACATAGAACTGGTTGCCTTCTCCTCTTAAAGCAATGGAGGTCACCCCCTTTTCCAGCTTAGCTTTCCTAATGTGGGAAAAGAGATAAGAATGAAGCAAAGTTAAACAGTTAACATTACATCGGCATTCTGTCCAGAGGACTTCAATTTTGTGTGTGTGTGTGTGTGTGTGTGTGTGTGTGTGTGTGTGCATATATACATGATATGATACAGTTGTTGGACTCACTTGAGAATTTTTAAGTTAGTACTGGAACACAGAGTGATGGTACCACATCCAGATCCTAGAAGTAGGTCCCCAGACTTCAGTATTTTCAGGGCACTGACACCCTGCACAGAAAAGACTTTAAATGATGTATTATGTACACAAACAATGTATCACTTCTCAAATTACTGTGATGTATAACCTAAAAGCTACCATACTTATTACTAATAAATAAAAGAATAAAAGGAACATACACACAAATGGAGAAATTACAGCTGCTGATGAAATGAAATTCGTAACTTCAACCATTGCATACATTTTCCAAGGAATGTTCAATCAGGAATACGGTTCAATCCGCACGAGATACAAAGCAGGACACTTGACAGTGCAAGTGAGCAACAGCTGAACTGACCCATGTTGCGCCTCATGAGGCTGACTTACCAGGCTGTATTTTAGTTTAGCGGGACCACACTCACGCAGGCGTCCCGTATTCAGGTTGATTTTCATTATGTCTCCACTGGTAGTGCCACAGAAAATTAACTGATCGTCCTCTGTGATCTGTGTAATATACAAACAAGTCAACCTATGCTATCTTAATATCACATCTAGTGTATACGTTTTTTATGTCATAAAAGAACCACAGTGTAATATCACATTCTGTGGTGTGAATGTGTGCATTCATTATTGGCTGTATATTTTTCACCAAATGTGACTACAACATTTGTATCAGCAGTCAAACTGACAAAAGCTATCTAGCAAAACTCATAAACCTCAAATTGATAGAACTAGTTTAATAAGCTGGATAAACAACATGATGTGAATGAAAAACTCTCCCTGCCTTGTACCTCTATACACTTCACAATCCTCTTGAGCTTTCCTGTCTGACACTCAGTGGGCCTGATCACCCGGTAGGAAAGGTCCAGCTCCCAGACTCGCAGTGTTCCGCTGACCCCCACCAAAGAAAAAAGATATTTGAAATTGTTGCAGATAAAAATATGAAAGCCAGATTAAAAGGGAATTTTAATTCCATTCACTGACCTCCCAGCAGAAACGAAGATGTTGTCGTTGGTATTCGAGTACTGCAGAGTGAAGCATTGACCACTAGCTGAAGCTGGGCTTCCACAAATGGCCTGCTTGGTCTCAATATTCCATACGATTATGCTGAAACACACAGAAAACACACATCACACACTCAACAAGATTGAGAATTTGTCTATTTAGTTAGACCAAACATGATGTTTACCGGCCACCATCCTCACTCCCGAGGGACACAAGGTACTTGTCGCTCGGAGAGAAGGCCAGTGCCTCTATCCTCGTCTTGTGGAGGGTCAGCTCGGCATGGATTGTTCGCTGTGTATAGTCCCAGATAATAACTGTAGCCTGGGAAAATATGTGAATAATTATTCTACATGTTCCAAGTGATACATTTGTTTTTCCATCCTTAACTTTGAATGGATCCAATCCCACATTGTGTTGATGCAAACAAGAATGACTCTTTCCTTATGTACCACACATCAAATAGGATAAATTAAACAAGTAATCGATGATAATGGGAATTTAGTGGGTTATCCTTATCCATTCTAGAAATTTTTACATTATGGAGAATGAATCTTCACTGCTGCTACCTCAAAGCCGACGTGGTTGACCTGTCCAGAGGCAATATACGATCCACTGTTGGACACTGAAATACAGGATATGTTGTTCTTGTGTCCATGGAGGAACTCCTGCTTGCCATCTGTGATACTCTTCAGAATGACCGCGGATCCCAGAGGATAGATGAGGTGCTCTCTGTCAGGGTGTACATTCAAGCCAGAAAACACGTGTCCTGATAAAATGAAAGGGTGAAATGTTTTAATACAGAAACTGACAACAAAATAAACTGCTTGCGATCATCATTGGTGATACTGTTCTTTGTGTCTTTTGAATTACTCTGTCAAAGGAACCCGGTCCAAACACCATTAGCAAATTCTAACAACGGGGATGCATGACAGCTGAAGCACAAGCAACAAAGTGGAAGATCAGCTAACAGGACTGTGGCTCAGAACTCTTGGAGACGATCTCCATGGAGGGAGCAGCATCTAATCTTACATTATAATGAGGAACAACTGTAGAGGGTCACAACTGATATTGTTCGTTAAATATCTATTTACCCCAAGATCCTGAGTCATACCCCCGAAATAACATGGACGACCAGTCTTCTCATATTTATGTATTGTTTTGACTGCTTGAAATGGACTTTAGATGATCTATTCTCTAAAATATTCCCCTAATTCATGTTTATGTATGTGTGTATTTATTCATTCATTCAATGAATGCTTTTCCTGTTCTTTCTTTCTTCTCTCATTCTGTATTTTTATTTATTAGAAAAACCATAACATTTCAAATAACAATTATTAACTGATTGTGATAATAAAAGAGGGTAGAAGGGTCTTTCTGCATTTATAGTTAGCAAGGCTGTTTTATTCTCACTTCTCCTTAAATGATCATTTGTTCATAACGTATCTGTAACTTTTATAAAACACAACCAAGCCTATTACAAACCTCAGCAGCAATAAACACAACAATTAAAAACAAATTCCCAAGTGTTTCATGATCACGCATTAGCATTAGCTTAGCATCAACAAGAAGCCGTCTGAAGTTAGTTAGGAAACTTACCGTTGAAGCCAATAACCGCCTCCAGTTCTAGTTGAGTGACTCCTTGTTCTTCATCAGCCATGGCCGAAAAACTCAATCTACTCTCTCTGCCTCCCGCTGGGTGTGAAGATACTTTGGGACGCTACTTCATCAGTAGATGTACTTTAATCCAGCGAAGTGAAAGCTGCCGTCAACAGCTCTGATGGCTTCACCACAGCAAACGTTACCTAGCAACAGTCGGGGTCTTTATATACAGTCTATGGGCCACGGGCCGCTGAAGCTACTTCGCTGCCTTCACGCGCACTCGGAAATTCCTAAGATCAATAATTGTGCACCTAAAAACTGGTAAAATTAAAATAAATTTCTTTAAAAAATCAATCAACACTTTCTAAGACATTGATTCTGTGAGTTTCTGCTACTTATGCAGGCTGCTGTGCTACTTTATTTGTGAGCTGACAATGCACTAAGAACCCCTAACCTACCTGGAAGATGTCTTTTAGTAAGTTGGTAAAGTTGAGGGACACAATAAAACATCATTTAAAATATAGTTATACAAGATATTGTATATATTTTCTATATGAAATAATGTTCCAGGTAGATTTTTGTAGCTCGAAGTTGATTTCTTAATCGAAATTACATTTGTGCACATTACTTTAAAGGTCCAGTGTGTAGGATTTAGTTGAAAGGGAACTATTGTCAGAAATTGAATGTAGAATAATTCTCATGTTTTCACTAGTTCATTTCATCTAAATTGTATGAAGTTTTCTTTACCCCAGAAAAGGCCCTTTATATTTAAATACTTTATATTTACATCGAGGGGACCCTCTCCACGGAGGCCGCCGTGTTTCTTACATTAGTCCAGACTGGACAAATTTAACACTTATTGAGTTTTTATGACAATTAAAAGCTACCACAGGTACCACAGATTACAATGAAGCGATCTACAATACAATGTATCTGTAGGTAGTGAGCTAGTCTGCATTGGGCAGCTGTGGATCTGTCATCCTTTATGCTGAATTTTCATTGGGCATGAAACTGAGCCCTTCCCATGGAGGAAGATTTGCACATAGTTGCACTGTATGAATGGTGACTGGTACTGTAAAGCCCTTTGAAGGGTCATCAAGACTAGATAAGCGCTATACAAATACAGATCATTTACAATTACAAAGAACAGCCCATGATATATGCAACACACTTGCATATCTAATAGAAAAATCTAATAAAATGAGAAAGACAAAGTTTGATATTCATTTTAATTACACACAACTCGCACCGGAGGAAAACAGCTGCTGCACAGAACAGATCAAACTGATTGTTCACTGTCTCAGTGAAGCTGTTGCACTTCAGGCCACAGGTCTATATGCAATCTCATTGGTAGGTGTTTCCTATTACCTGCATAGAGAACAGTGTACCAACACCTTTCTGCTCTGTCAGTACAGCATTAACCATTCTGCACAAACTGAATCAAAATAATAGTAGTAATAATAATAATGTTAATTTCATACATGAGTATAAAATTTGCTAATTTTTGGCATTTATTTGTTTATTCTGGGAAGATGGCTAAGAAATAAAAAATATTGAAACATGATAGTGTATGAGATTTCATCCATGCTATTTTAAGACAAATAAACATTTGTCATGAGAGGAAGAAGTGAACAGAACATCCACCTGATCTGTGTTCATCCAGGATTAGGGAACCCTTACTCTAGGTCAGTGGTTCTCAAACTTTTTCTGACACGCCCCCCTTTGGAGGAATAAGAATCTCATGCTAAGGATTTCCGTGAGCAGCAAAGTGAATCATGTAAAAAATGTAAAATTTGTTCTCAATACACCGCAAATTGGCGGTTTGCTAACAAAATGTTCTCTCCATTAATATTCTTTTTTAACTACTGGGATTCTCAGAAGCTCCTTCTAAACTTAATGTGTCTTTGGACGTTTCCAAAGACATCTGTCCATGCATGTGTGTCCTCTGGTGTCTGCTTAGAGAATGGCTCCATGAAAACTTGCGACCACAGGTGAGGCAGAGATAGGGTCTTTCTCCTGTGTGTGTCCGCTGATGTTTTATCAGAGACTTGTATCGTGTGAAGGTTGCCCCACATTCATTGCAAATATACTTCTCTGATTTAATGTGAACATTTTGTTCATGCTCTTTCATGTTGCCCAGCTGTGAGAAGCCTTTTCCACACACAGGGCAAAGATGTGGTTTCTCTCCCGAGTGGGTCAACCCATGAATATTCAAATCCTGACGAGAGTAAAATCCTTTCCCACAGATAATACATTTGTATGGTCTTTCCCCTGTGTGCCTCCTCATGTGTCTTTTAAGCCCTTCTGAACGGGAGAAGCAACTGTCACACAAACTGCATCTGAAAGGTTTCTCCCCAGAGTGGGAGCGAAAGTGCCGACGGACCTCTGAGGCCTTGAAGAAACGCATCCCACAGTCCGGGCAGCAGTGAGGTTTTTCCGGTTGCTCCTCGTGTGTCTTTTCATGTGCTTTGCAGTGACCTAACTCAGAGAATCCTTTCCCACAGATGGAGCAGGTGAAAGGCTTCTCCCCAGTGTGCATTCGCTTGTGACGGATAAGTTTGTTCAGCTTACTGAACGTCTTCATGCAGTATGAACACTGATGAGGCACTTTTGGTTTCTTTGAGTGTGTGCGCTTATGCCTCTCTAGCCTTGAAGGCCTGTTGAAAATTTTTCCACAGTCTGGGCAGGGATGTTTGTTAGTCCTATTGTGGCAATTCTGGTGTCGGATCAGCTTCTCTTCTTGAGTGAAACTCTTGTCACAATGCTGACACTGAAAAAGAGTCTTAGGCTTCCTTGTGTGCACATGTTTGTGCCTTTCTAGCTTTGATGGTCTGTCAAATACCTTCCCACAGGTGGAGCAAGGGTAACACTTGTCTTTAGTGCTGGTCGCTAGCAGTTTAGAGTCCTCTGTGTCAGTGGAATCTGACTCTGAGATTTCCTTCACGTTGATCTCTCCGGGACCTGATGGACAATCACACAAAAAGCCTCTTAATACCTTACTCATTGAACTGATTGAACAGTCGGAGAAGAAGCAACACTTACTTTCCTCTGAAGATTCTGTTTTTGTGTCAGAAGTGGTGTCTGGGCCCATGACTCCAGCCTATATATTATACAAAAAAACACACTGGACCTTTAACATCAGCCATTATATTAGCCTAGTAAATGTATTTGTTTAGTTGGCATGCAAACAATAATATATACAATATATAAACAAAATATTGAAATAAAGAGACGGAGGTGAAATTTTAACAAAAACCCTTAAAGTTTGTTTTTCTCTGGAAGGTTTTACTATTGATTCAAAACAATGATTTTTATCATTCACACTGTGATGCCTTTAGAATATTATATTTCTGTTTCCCTCTGTTAGTACTGGCTAACAACCACAAAAATTGGGTTGGATAATGAGGGCACCACAGCACAACTGCTATGCTGCTACAATACTACATTTGCTGCTATTCCTAATGCTATTTTACACATCCTATGCATGAAGATTACTTACCATGAAGTATTTGGGACTCATCAATCAATTTTTGCACTATTCCAGTTGCACTACTTACATTCTATCTCCCCTGTGTCTTTTAACGGCTTACTATGTTGTGTACTTATGTCTTAATATAATGCTCACTTGTATTTTTGTCTTCTTTTATGTTTACACTGAGGATTAGAGAGAAATAGTAGAACCCTGTTCTGTTCTGCACATATGGCAGAACTGACACTAAAGTTGACTTGAGCTGTCTCCTCATGAGCCAGTCCTCTGTGGAAGTCCTCTGTCCTATTTATATTTAGATAAACCAAAGCATGCCCTGTTAGTGGTATCAATGACAAATTAAAGGTAAAACTCACTGTGGGAGGATTTTTATTCCAATTAATTCTCAAATCTCACTTTACTACTTCAACTTTTGACTTTTAATGTACATCAGACGTGTCATCTATCCATGATATAATGCTAAACTATAAAATGTAATAGATTAAGGATTTATGACATGGTGTTGTGGGGAATAGAATCGCATGGTAGTCAGATCTGGTTCAGAGAAGATCATGTAAACATGATGTCACGCCTGAACATTAGCAGTGCAGCTGGTGTGTTGACAACAGATTTGAGCATGAGCCCACCTCGTGGTTAACATTAGCTGTCGTATCGCTGCAGAGGCTTTTAAACGGAGGGTCGGTGAGTGTGTATGTGGGACACACACATGCACACAAACAGACCTGAGCAACATTAGCTGACGAAGCTAACGTTGTCGCGCTAGCTAAATAACCAGTAAAGAAAATGAACAGGGCATACGAGTGAGACTCCCACCTCTCTAACAATCCGTACAAGCACCGGCTGGCACAAACCTTCTCCCGCAGCGGCTCTGTCCTGCTTAAGGTTAAATCCAGAGAATAGCAGCAGCTCGCTACAGCGTGAACTGCGTTATGTTCTCTCCCATCCTGGTGGGCGGACACCCGACCGGACTCTGTCTCTGATTGGTGGACGCTGACATTCTTGCCGGAATCACTTTGATGAATAAATCTAAACCAATCTGTGTCAGGGTAGGGGCGGGTCTTCCTATAAAGTTGTTCTTTAATTACATTTGTCATATCCTCTTCATGCACCACGTCCCTGCTTTGTGTTGTGTTATTAAATTGTGTTAAGAAAATGCACAATCCTTTATTGAAACAATAATAGGTGAGGTGAAACTGACCACAGATCCAGTGGATACTTCCAAACCATTCACTGATTCACAGAGGAATGCAGCCTTACTGGTATTTTCCTGTTTTGTAATCTTTGTTGGTTTTGAGTCTGATGCCCAACCCAAACACAAGAGCTCACTTTCAACAGCATTAAAACGCAGTATAGGTTTTAATACGGTATATTGCAAATACATGCAAAAATTTGAGTCCATCAAACATTAAAAATATAATGTTTCAAAGTAAGTAACATAGCCTTAGTTGTTGTTAGATGATGCATAAGATGACAACTAATCAAAAGGTGCATTCAGTTCTGTATCAAATGCTGACAAACTACAAAACAATTACAAATAAGACACAAACGTAGACACATACATCCAGAAAGGGTGCAGTGTATCCATCAATACCAATAATCAATAGACTAAATTGGAGGAAAATCCAGATAGAGTAAAACATGTTCTACTGCCGCAATGTGTGCTTACAGGTTCTGGTCAGCACAGATGTTTAAATGTGACTTTTTGTATAATATGAATGAATCTGAAATGGCTAATATTAGCTGTGCTCATACAGCACATTCTCACTAATACTCAGAATTTCATCACTGCAAATCACATTTTACAACATCCTTGTTTTCATTTCATGTTTCATCCTTCCATCTCTGAGGGGGTTTGTTTTTGTGCAGTTTCCTTCACTCCTTACACTTTATACATCCTTGAAACATTGTGTATGCAAACTTGTAAAGCTCAGTTGTATACAAATGAACTTGACCTGCGTACATCAAGTCAAGTAAAATCTCCCTCCATTGCCTCTCAATATGTGCAGAAATGTGCATTTCTCAAAATAAATAAAGACAATTACATAAAAAAAATCCAGTCCAATGAAACAGCATCAAGAAAAAGTGGTTCAGCTTTGAGATGCAAGAATTACACAGTTACTACTGTGTATCTCTCTCTCTTTTTTTCTTCACTGAGAGGGAAAACAGTGAGAAAAGGAAATAGAGTTCTGGATGCCCCACACTTCCAGGGACTGGATCTTGAAATATCCCTTGCAGAGTGGGATGCTCTTGAATGTGTCACAATGCTCTGTGTATCCTCCCTCTAGGTCTTCCTGCAGGCAAAGAGCATGGCCCCCATCACCACCTGTAAGAAGAAATAAATACATCAGTACTTACAGCTTAGAGGGCTATGTATTCTATTAGTGTGATAATATCAACTGATATACCAATAATGAGCTGTCTGTCGTCTCCTGCTATGAACATATAGGCTTGTTGTCCCTTGGGTCTCTTTGGCTCTTTAGCAGTTGGGGGCTCCTCTGACAGGGTGGTGAAGGGAATCGTCAGGTAACTGGGATCCTGGGGAGTCCCGGCAGGACAGGTCAGATTTGTGGCGGCAGTGGTGGAGGTGACTGGCGAGTTGCCGCTTATGGACACCTGGGGGGAGGTGCTGTTGCTGATGTGAACCTGCTGTGGGGATGCTCTTCTGGTCATGATGTTGATCATAGTCTGCTGGTAGTGCTCCATGCTGGGACGAAGCTGAAAGAGCAATCTTATTTCTTATTTGACATTCGGTTACAGTTTAGATGGCATTCCAGTGAATTACAGTTACCATACTTTATGAATAAAGTAATGATCTTATTTGCAGGAGTTTGTCTCACCGTAAAAACAAAACATTCCCCAGTTCCAAAATATGTAACTCCCTCATGGTCATGTCTTCTTCTTTCTGTCATGTCTGTTGACATGAAGGCCCCAAAGACCTGTGACATGAGAAATATGAATATTTTATCACCACATAAAATTTAATATCATCGCCAGCAGCATTACAGGATTTAAAATACAAATCTAAGATTAAAGTGTAACAACATGTTCGTGTTACCTCTTCATCGACAGTTTTGATCATCAACACTGCTGGTTCATGTCCCTCCACATGTGAATAGAATCTATGTGAGAGAAAACATATGTGTTGTTTTTAACATCCAATCAATTGCAGCTTCACTGAAAACAAAACCAAGTTCATAAAACAATTATGGGCCTATATTATTGAGTAGGCCGATAGAAATCTGTAGATATGAGGCTTTAGCGGACACTTTGGAATCAGTATTTATATTTATTTGTCAAAATAAATACTAAAGAAAAGATGTATTCATGTTTACGATATTTATAATAAAGCTGTTTAAACTGTAAAATATCATGTTTGAAAACAACATCTTAGGAATCATTGTCAACATATTTATTTATTATTAATTTATTAATTTATACATTTGCTGTCCGATAGGGATCAACATTATCCTAATGTCCCTAATATCAGCATTGACCCCTAAAAATCCATGTCGGTCAAGCTGTGTTATTATTAAGAAGAGAAGGTGGAAGGTTGAAATTTAAGATCTTTCAATTTGAAGTTTACAAACTCAAACTAAAACAGTTTTTTATGGGTTTATCACTTTCTCTATGCTTTCATTTACTACACAGTGTGTAAAAACAAATTGATGGATAAACACTCATGTATTGGAATTATTGGTTTCAACTTCAGGCAGTTGTGTACATAAACATTTGCCACCACTGAACTGTAAGTCACTTGACATTCTCACTCAAAGCAAACATGTTGATAGTGAAAACACAGCGCCTCTTTCTGTTGCGTAACTAGAGCTGGGAAAGTGCTGCGACAAGGTGTTCAGTGGTTATTGATCCATGGTGACCTGACCTCATTTAATTAAAGTATGGGATGACAAAATAGTCGAGGGAAGAGGCCCCTCAGGTCATTAATCATGTCTGTTACACTAGCTTTTAGTGTCATTGATAGTTTCTCAGTGGGAATATCATTGAATAAAAGTTACTTACGAGGCAAGGCTTCTTCCGTGTTCAGCCGTACTGAACAGCCTAATGGGACTGAAAAGGGCAAAGCGCTCAGGTATCCAGGCCCAGACGACTCTCATCTCAGTTCCCGTCACAACACTGGAGCTGAAGTTTGAGAAGTCCACTGTCTCCACCGTCTGCCTTCGGGAACGTTCAAAATAGTCATGATATAAGACGCTGGGATTTGAAATGGATCCGTTTGAACATTTGAAATCACACATAGCTTGTGCAAATATGCCGTTTATCATAAAAAGTTCTGCACACTACATACATGTCATCACAAGATACTACTCCCTCCTGTTCTACATCAGTTTCTGTATGAACCAACCTGTTCTGGTGGATGCTGACACCTTTCTGCATAAGAGAGTCCTTGTTGGCATTGAACAGGAGGTTGAGCTCTCTCCGCGTGGCCATCGGGATCATGAAGGCCTGCTCCAGAAGCTTCTCCGCCGTGCAGTGGCGAGCAACATTCTGCACAAAACTTTTCATGTCGGTTCTGAAGTCCTCCACGTCGGCCACTCGAGAGGACACGGACACTTTGTAGAGGCTGAGCAGAGCCAATGCCACCCTTCAAAACGAAGTAAAGTAGTGGTTATGTCATGAGGAATCATATTGTTGTCAGGATTGTTGTGAAATAGCAGCAGCTGCAAACCTGTATAGGACCTTGTAGCCTTCCAGAAGGTAGACGTCCAGCACTCTGATGGCGTAGGTGAAGGGAAGGTAAGCAAAAATCCACATGATCCAGTCCGAGTAAAATTCAAAGAGGTTTTGGTGAGAGCTGGCGATGAGCTTACGGATGCCGCGGCAACACCTGTTCGCAAGGTCTCCAAAGGTCATACAGGAGGCGCGGTAGGTGAGGAAGGTCTGGTCGATGTAACGCTTGTTGGGGTCATTGTAAGAGATGAGTCTGGAGACACTGTAGAAACACTCAGCTTCATCCTGGCTAAAGTGGAGGATGAGGGAGACCAACGCAGGCAGGATGGGGCAAAAATTCATGTCTGGGAAGTGTTTCCCGAGGCAAAGAAGAATCTTCTTAACAGAGTTCAGCCCAGCTTTGTTCAGACAGTATCTGCAAGGAAAGAGCAAACACGGTAAGTGGATATTATAGCACGATATGTAAAAATGTAAGTTCATGTAGCCAAAAAACAAATCAGCTCTGTCTCTTCATGACCTAGAAAAGCTCATTCATGCCTTTGTCTTCTCAAGCCTGGACTACTGCAATGCACTATTTACATGTACCAGTCAATCGTCAGTCTCTCGTCTTCAGCTGGTATAGAAAGCTGCAGTTCTTATTTTAAACAACACCAAGTGTAGCACTCATATCGCTCCAATTCTTGCCTCCTTCATTGGCTGACGGTTAAAACCAGGATTGATTTAAGGATTCCTTTAATAACTTTTAAATCTCAGTAAAGTCTGGCCCCCAGTTATCTTACAGAGCTGCTAACCCCCCATATGCTACAAGTTGTAATCTAAGATCTTCTAACCAACACTTTGCTTTGAGGAGATTAGATTTGCCAACACTACACATACGAAACACATTTTTATATGTAAGTCATTTAATGCCTGATTTGAACTGGTTTTAACAGTTTAGTTTGTTTTGATGTATGTAAAAGTATTTGACAAATACGGCAAGAACAACAACTCAACACAAAAACACAATAATTACATTTTTGCTAAGGGACACAGTTTTGAGAGTTTATGGAAATATTTTGTAATTGTTGTAACACTTGGTGAAACATGTATTTTAAGGAACAACATCTTTCATCGTCATGTTTTTAGTGTTTTTGTAAATGTAGTAGAGCAACATGTCCACAATGCTTGAACAAATGTTATCCCAAAAATGTACCTTGGTATTTCTTCTCCCTCCATGTACTCTGGGACTGGGTGGGGGCTGATCTTCTGTTCTCCAAAGAGCTTCTTGCTCAGATCATAGTAAACATCCCTGTCTGAGGTGATAGACCTGCTACAGATATCACAGCAGTCCACATTCAGATGATTTGACGAAAGTGAATTTAAACAATTCATTAACTGATTATGCAAAGGTTTTTGAATTTCTGATGTTCAGTGTGACTTATCTTTACCTGCAGTTGAGGCTGTGAATGATGTGATAGTAAGCCTTGGCCCTCAGTGTGTGTGGCATGGCCCAGAATCCCTCTCGGCCCATGGTTTTCAGCTGCTGGTGCTCACTCCTCAGGATCTGCTGGTATCTTTGTGCAGCTTCAGGATCGATCTTCTCCCAGTCCACAAATTGTCCATACTTCATTCCCGAGTTGGAACTAATCTCCCAGTTGTCTGACTCTGAGATGGTTATCATCGAAACTGACTTGAGATTGCCTTTACTGCCTATACCAGCAAAACATGCATACATACGGTTAATTTTCATTAACACTGTTTGTTTGTGTTTTTGCAATTTTCAAATATCATGTCATTATAACATGTTATTTCAGTACCATTAAGTTCTCCAGAGGGTGACACCTTGTTTGGTTTAGACTTGGACTTCTTGGCAGTGACTCGAACACCAGCTCCATCCCTGTCTTTATTTTCCTTTCTATGTAGTTGTAGGGAACTTGTTTTCTGTCTCAGAGGACTGGACCTGTTGAAGTTTCCCAAGTCAAAGTTGCTGCAAGGCTCTGACGTCTCATAACTGTAAAAAGACCTGTTGAGAAGTTGATAATGTTAATGATGTATTCAATAGTACTTATACTCTTTTGTGTCAGTTCATGTGTTGTGCCATGATCTATCTTGCACCAACATTACAAAACATTTTTTCCTGCTCTACTAATTAACATGATCTGGACTTAAAAAATAGAAGCACAACTTTTAAGTAAAAGCAAAAACATACCTGGAGCGAGGTCTTAGATAAGTTTCTTCTGTCTGCGTCTGCACACCATAGTTCTTGTTTTCCTCTGGGCTGTAATAGGAGTGAGATCTTTGCCTGGTTCTACCTCCTATGATACAGTCCAAGTCTTGGTCAGAGGACGTGTGGACTGAGACCGAATTCATATTTCCACAATTGGAGAATTCTGGTGTTCTTGAAATGTGAATCATGTCCAGACTTATTCTTCAAAGAAGAGCAGGTTTGAAGGTAATGCGTCCCCTGGTATCTATTGCACACAGTGAGGATCAGGGCTTTATATAAGCCTGTGGGCTGTGGCCATGTGAGACGAGCATGGTTTGTTTGTGGTGATTCACAGAGAGGGAACAGTTCCACTGATTTTCCTGTTTTAACTTCCCAACAGCACACAGCATCTAATTCTGACCTCTTTCAAAAACACATGACGTCAAATGTCCTTTAAATAACCTCACACTCACAACAATGTTAATAACTGTTTCCCCCCTTAATGTTACACACAGAACATTCACTTGGTTCATATTGGTGTTAACACATTGCTTAATACTGTATTTAAAACTTAATTTTTTTTATAGCAAAGTTTATCAAAACATGCATTGATCGGAATAATGTAGTCGGTCCGAGGGGTGTAATCATGTTGCTCTTTCTGTGAACCTGCTGCAGGTATGGCATCGAAATGCCAAATGAAACTATTCCGAGAAGTCTTCCAAAGCTTATTATTCTACACAACAGATATTTGTTTTGATCCAAACATGACTACTGTTTGGTTGTGAAACATAAAACCTCCACTCATACTTATCTCATATGTGGGCTTCACATGTAATCAGGTTGAAAAACAAACTGTCAGGCCCCCATGAGTGGAGGGAGCATGCTGTCATTCCTTCACATTAATTT